ACGGAGGAGACCCGGGCGGAAGGAGGAGGAGGAGGAGGTGGCGGAGGGACGAAGAAGCCCGAGGGGTCGAAGGAGAGCCGAGGTACCGAGGGGGCCCAGAGCAGGGGGGCGGTGAAACGTGGTGGCCTCCACCAGATCCCCATTCAGCTCAACCACAAAGAGGAGCAGAAGGGCAGGGAGAAGGAGCCGCACGAAGGCGTCCCAAACAGCGACGAGGGCTACTGGGATTCCACCACCCCTGGTCCCGAGGAAGACGGTTCCGCAAGCATCCGGAAGGAGACCATTCCCAGGGACAGCTACAGCGGGGATGCTCTCTACGACCTCTACGCCGAGCCCGATGAGAACCCACCAGCGGGGCCTGGGGATTTTTTTTCGCGCGCCAAGCCCGTGTCTCCAGTAACGACCGCGTGCTCGCTGAAAACACCCTCAAGCACAGTGAAGGACTCCAAGATACCCATCAGCATTAAACACCTTTCGTCGCATCCCGCCAGCCACGGGGCGGACACCGGTAACAGCCATCACGTCGCACACCATCACCTGGCCAAAAGTGAGATGCACAGAACGAAAATCCCTGTCTCTAAAGTACTGGTACGCCGGGTCAGTAACAGGGGCTTAGCAGGGACGACGGTGAAAGCCGCCGTGTACCAGGACAGTGCCAAAAAGTAGTTGAGTAAGAAGTGGAGGCAAAGTCGGACAGCGAGGTCGGGGCGCGAAAGTCCGCGCGGGAGACCACAGATGATGAACTCGTTTTGCATCACCTGAAGAAAGGCACCTAGAAGGCTCCCTTCACTGTCCTCCACGGGCCTGCGCTTCTGAATCCCTTCTTACTAGACTGTGTGGCTGAATAGAAAAAGTCGACTTCTTTTCGAGCACTTTTTTTTACATTTGTATCTTTTTTCTGCAGCACTAAACACTGGGGAGCTTCATTTTTACATGCCTTTTTGGAAGCAGGACTTGGATTATGAACCTAAATGAGCATCCTTTCCTCATGCAAAGCCGTGCCATGAGTTCTCCAAGGGAACAGAGTCACAAAAGGAGCGACGGGAGAGGTTCTCCAACACGCTTATCTTTTAACCGTTGCCGGGGGGAGGAGCGGGAGGGTGGGTGCCCGGCTCCGAAAACGGTGTTTGCTCTACAAGATGTTGGAAAAAATGCCAAGCAAAAAAACCCCAACCAACCAACCAACCTAACAGGTATTTTGCCTGCTGCAGGAACGAGCGCACCGCTCGGCAGCAGATTTGACTGACTTGTGTGCCGTAGCTAACGAAGGAGTTAGGTGGACTTGTCTAACAGGAAAACATATTTTTGTTTGTCCGTCTGTCTGGTTGGGTTTGATCCGGTCTAATGCAAATGGGTCACAGAGACACCTGACGTAGGTTCAGATGTTTACATCAACACTTGTCCAATAGCGCATACAATCAGGTTCAGGGAAACATTTTACTAAATGCCAATATATACACACTGTTCACGTTTATACGATAACTTGCTCGCCATGTGTAAATATATACATATTTTAGCAGATTTACTCAATGCTACAGATACTGACCTGCTATTAATTCAGTGGCTGGTCTTTTTTTATAAAAAAAAAAAAAAAAAAAAGTCACCCGTCTGTATTATCTAGAGTTTAAGCGAGAGTTAGTTTTTATAGGTAGATAACTTTACAGTTCTAAAATGATAGAACTTTGTGTAAGTACCTTAAATTAGAGCAAAACTCGGTTTTGTGCGGGCTCGTGCACCCCCAGATCAGTAGGTCTGCCGCGCTGCTTTCGTCCCGGTGGCACACTCCGTGGGTCAGAGCTGAGGTGCTGACAGCATTGCCACCCCAGACCTCTATTTTCAGGGGTTTGCAGGAAGCTGCTCTGGGCTCAAACCTGACAGAGAAGGAACCCAGGAGAGAAACGTGTTTTTTAATTATTATTTTTTAAAAGATATAAAATTAGTTTTTTGACTATTTAAAGAAAGTTTGGGTTCTCGTTGCTTATTATTTTCATTCTTAATAACGTCAGAATAATTTTACTTTAAGAGAGAAAAAGAAATATGGTTAAGCTAGCGGTATATAAAAAGGTCTGATGAGCTTGGATCTTATGAGAAATGTATTAATGGCCGGGACATTTTTGAATAGCGGCTTATAATCATTTTTTTGGGCATTGGCAACATTTCAGAGAAATTTAATAGGGTTTTAATGTGCCTGAGGATGTATTTTTATGATACACTGAAAAAGCTCCAAAAATCACTGAAGTCTAAAGGTAAATGTTATGTATTTACAAAATATTTTGATATAAGTATTTAATCATCGGACCACAGTTAATATAAAATATATGCTCCAGTGTATCTGAAAAATAATATACATTTTAAAAAGTATACATGTCTATATTATGCAGAGAATCCTAAATTCACATCATTGAAGCTAATGGGTCTGATCTTACATAGCGGTTGGTTTTACTGTCTCTTAAATTGAAAGGAAAAAAAGGAAAATATACAGAATATACAGTTGGAGGATATTAAGGTTATAGATAAACCATAAAAAGCCAGGAAATACCGTAAGAAGAATTGTACATATGTATATGCGTGGTTGGCTGGGGCGACGACCTTACAGTCACAAGGGTAAAACCGGCACACCTCGTGCCGAGACGACTGCAGGGTTTCAGACCCAAGCGCAACGCCCCAGCGCGCAGGCAGAAAGCGTTAGTTCTCCTCATCGCTCCCTGTTTTCATGGTTTGAGTAAGAACCTTAATACACTTCAAAGGAGATTATTTTATGTGTTTGCTGTCAAACGTGTACGTGTGTGGGTTTTTTTTTTTCCCCTCTATGCCTGCTCACCCGGACGTGTTGTACATACGCATGTGTCGTCAGGCCGCGCCTCCTCCGAGGGCGCACGCAGCGCGAAGGCGCACACCCGCGCACACGCGTGTGAGTGCAGCCAGGCGTGCACGCTCCCGCGCGCGGGCGGAGGGGCTGTGCTCTCCGTCCGTCCCC